GCCGACTGGAGCCCCAGCCTCCTGCCCTTAGCGTGACTTTGGGCCTGTCCTGGGCACAGCTCCTCCTGCTCCGAGCGAGGCAGGGAGGTGACCAGGTTGAGGATGGCTGCCTCCCTGAGGTCACCTTCCCTGCAGGGACCCAGCACCCCGCCTTGTTAGAGCTCTGGATGCTTCCACAAAGCCATCTGTCATCTCATCTGGCACCCAGTGCAGGAATCACTTGTCCCCGCAGTACCCGCAGGGAGCCTGAAGCTCAGGGAGGTGGGTGACCTGCCCACAGCCAGAGCAAAATAGAGGGAGCCCAGGAGCCACCATGGCTGGGGCAGAGTGGCTTGGCTCCCTGGGGCTTCTCCACCTGTCTGGCTTGTTCCCTCTTCTTCCCTCTTGCCCCGTGCATCGAACTGGGGTCCTGTTGGATGGGTGGTTCACTGGGGGCAGGTGCCAGGCGTGTCTTGTTGGTCATGGTGGCTCAACACTTCGCGTGCATGGATGTGCTCAGTGATTTGCAGAGGGCTGGGAGGAGCTTCCTGGGAAGAAGCTGTGATGACACCTCATTTACAGAGGAGCGCATGGAGACTCTGACCCCAGAAGGTGCCCAAGGCCACTCAGGGTCATCTGCAGCCTCTTTTTCCCCACCTGGTGCTGACATGGAGGATAAGGCCTGTCCCTGCCACAGCCAAGTGTGGCTCCTGCCTGGGCCCTGGTCTAGGCCAGCGGTGCCCAGAGGTAGGGAATTGGGTGGAGCCCCTCACCTCAGATGGGTTGGGATGCTGGGCAGGGACAGTGCCCCCCACCCCAGGTAGACTGCTGGGTGTGGATTGGCACCAAATGAAAGCAAGTCGGCGTTGTGTTCTGAGAAATGATGGTCACCTTCTGTGGCAGCAGGATGGTGCTGTACCTGCCGCTCCGGGAATGTGTCCAGGCCTGGCTCTCCTGCTCTGCACTGAGCTGCATGGCCTCTGGAGGCCTGCTGGGTGGTTGGCCTGCCTGCCTCACCCGGGCCATTGGGCCCAAAGGCATGGGGGTTCTAAGGAACCATGGAGCCTGTGCAGGGATGGTTGCGTCCATGGGTGCCTCCCCTTTCAGAGGGCCCAGGAAATAGGTCTGGGCCAGGCAGGGGTACCTTCTCACCTAAAGTGAGGTGTCTTCAGCCAGCTCTGGGGCTGGGGCGGGGGGGGGAGTGGGGTGGGGGCTGAGGCTGGGGTGGGAATGGGGTCAGGGCAGAGTATTCTGGCATCAGCCACATGAGCCAGGCTGGCCCTGGGGCCTCTCATTGCTAAGCTTCTTCCACCCTTGTTTGCCTCTCTTCTGTCTCAAGCTTATGGAGACCTCAAGCCAGGCTCTGAGCTTCACATATCTTAGGCCGTTTCACCGCCACAGCCCTGGGGGGTGGGCAGGACACCCTGTGTTGCAGATGAGCGCCCGGGGGCTCTGGGCTGATAAGTGACTGGCCCAAAGTCACTCTAACGCAATGTGCAGAGGCCACATGACTCCACAGCCCATGCCCCCTCCCTTTGAGACTGGAAACTCTCTCCCCTGTTGCACCCCCTCCACCCTCCTTGTCTGTCCTGGCTGCCCCCTGAGTGCTCCAGTGCTGGCTGCCTCGGGAGTGTGGGCTGTGCCTGCCACGGAGTGGCTCTCAGCGGAACTGCAGCCTGCAGCAGCTGGGTCCTTCGTCTCTGTCCTGGGGAGCTGGGCCACTGGCAGGAGCCAGGGCGAGTCGGAGGGAGAACGGAGCAGAGTGAGGGCCTAGGGGTCTGGAGTAGGTGGGCACCGGGGCAAGTGAAGGCACTTCCACACCCCCATAACCCAGTCAGTGGTGGGATGGCGTCTGGCTGGGAGGCCTGGCTGAAGAGCTGGGAGCAGGTGATGTGGCAGTTCACAGAAGCCCCAGCCGACCTGACAGGGTGGTCGGAGGCAGTGCTTCCAAGAGCCCAGGCCTATCTGGGGCCCCACTTTCCTTCCTTCCACATCCCCTTGACGATTGCTAGATCTCCCCCGCCTCGGCCCCTGCCTTCAGGCAGGGCTCCAATTCACATTTTTGGAATAACCAGGCCTTTGACAGGCTTATTTTGAAAGGAAAAATTTCTTGAATCTCGACAAAGGAAGAGGACCAACAGACACTCCTCCCTCTCTCTCTCTCTCCTCTCTCTCTCTCTCTCTCTCTCTCTCTCTCCTCTCTCTCTCTCGTGTGTTTAAGTGTGAGGCACAGGCTTGTGCTGCAAGGTGGTATATACCTAGAGTTTCTGTGACCCTGGCGAGGGGTTTTGAGATGTGGGGTCCAGGACTGGGTGGGCTTCAGAATGCCATTCTGGGCTCTCTTGCTGAGCAGCTTGAGCTGAAGAGGGGATGGGGTGCTGAGGTCTCAAGGTTGGAATTTCTGGGGCCCTGTGCTGGGGACAGAGCCTCCAGCCCATTCTGAAGGTTGGGTTCATCTTGGCTCCAGACTCTAGGTTTCTCTGAGGCAAGCTCCTAGGACTTAGGTTCAAGGGCCTGGCTGGCTGTGGTCCCTGGGGTAGGTGCTGGGTCTCCAGGGCTAAGGCTCCCTGGTCTCCGGCCTCTCTTCAGTCCTGGTGAGGCGCATCCCTGTTCAGGCCGCTGCCGGCCATCACCATATTAGGGCATAAACTCCAGGCAGGCTGTCTGGGTGCCAAATGGTCTCCAGCTGGGCCCAGCCCCCTGCAGCTTCCAGCACCACAGCTGTGTGTCAGAGGCCGGAGGTCAGGGGACAAGAGTGGCTGCTGCAGGGAGACCCAGACAGAGCCCCGGAGCTCAGGGCCCTTTGGCAGAGCTGTGAGGGTCTGGGATGTGGTGAGTGGAAGGGCTGTAGGGTGGGGCAGAGAGCCCCTTCACCTAGTGCCATCCTGTTTAAGCTGGTTTCAGAGGACCTCGTTTCCCTAGATGAGTCCGCAGCTGGTTAGAATCCCTGAGCCTGGCCAGCATCTGCTGTGCATCAGGCCCTTCCCACCTGGCCTGCTCCCTGCCTCCCCAGCACACAGGCCCTTGGCCTCACTGACAGGCTTCAAGCACCAGCTCCAAGTCCCAAGCGTGGCGCCGCCTCCAGGTTGCTGGCCTCTGTTGCTGGCCTCTCCCTTGACTCATAGCACCACCACCATCGCCCCTGCTGTGGGTTTGAGATCAGGAGTAGGGGTGAGCCAGGGAGGTTCTGGGAGGTAGAAAGGTGAGGAGAGGCTGGGTATGGTGGCTCACACCTGTAATCCTCGCAGTTTGGGAGGCTGAGGCGGGAAGATCACTTGAGGCCAGGAGTTCGAGACCAACACAGTGAAAACCCCGTCTATCAAAATATACAAAAGTCAACTGGGCATGGTAGCCTGCAGCTGTAGTCCCAGCTACTTGGGAGGCTGAGGCAGGAGAATCGCTTGAACCTGGGAGGCAGAGGTTGCAGTGAGCCGAGATCATGCTGCTGCACTCCACCCTGGGCGACAGAGTGAAACCCTGTCTCAAAAAAGAAAAAAAAAAAAAAAGAAAGAAAGGGAGTCTGGGTTGAACAGGACTGCATGGTTTGTTACCCTCGCCTCTCCCCCATGCCTGCAGCCTCCCTGTCAGCATGGCCTGTCACTGACACCACCAGCCAGTGCTGGCCCCAGGGCCTATGACTCTAGGCGCTAGGCACTTTGGTGGGGACAGGAGACACTGAGAGGCAGAGAAGACAGCTGAGCAGAGGGGGAGCCGAGAGGAAGGAAGAGGCTCCCTAGGGAGAGTGGGAGATGAGGAGCCTGCCTGGTGGGTCCCTGGGGGGCCATAAAGGAGCTGGAGCGGGATGTTAACTGCCTTCTGGTTTCATTAAGGACTTCCTGCGAGCGGGAGGTTCTGAGCTTGGCCTTAGGTGGAACTGAGTGCTTGGCCTAAAAGGGGCTCCTTCAGAAATTGGCATGGGAGGACGTGGGGCCCATGTGCTCAACAGGGAGCTGAGGGAGACCAGGTGCACTTGGCCTCGGGGACTGACCTCATCTGGTACAGGTCCTTTGGTGGACAGAGAGAGAGACTAGAAAAGAAAAAATCAAAGATCAAGAGAAACGCGAGGCAAGGCGAAGATGAAAGATCTAGAAGCAGTGCTTCTTAGACTCTTTGGTGAAGGATCAGTTTTCTTTAATGCTAATATGTTATAGGCTGGTACATCTGTGAAATACAAGAGCACATGCGTGGATATTATGGCGATGCCAAATTGCTTAAAGTTTTTGAAACTCTTGCTTTCAACGTCTGTCCTTATCTTGTGTGCTGACACAACGGCTGGTGCTAATCTAGAGAGAACAGAGACAGAGACAGATAGTAACAGCTAACCGTCTGTAGTGTGTAGCATACGCCAGGCATTGCCTAAGCACTCAGCATGTGCTGACTTGGTTAATCTTTATAACTCATGAGAAAAGAATTATATACACTATGTATATCGCAACATCATTGTGTATCCCATAAATATGTACAATTATTGTGTCAATTAAAAAGTTAAAATTAAAAAAAATTATTCTTCTTCCCATTTTATAGATAGAAAAAATGAGGCACAGGGATGTTAAATAATTTAGGAAAAAATGCATAAGTGATTACATAGCAGATCTGGGCTATGAACCCAGAGGTCGTAGGCCTTAAGTCTGTGGACTTAAGCACTGTGCTACAGTGCCTCACGTGAGGGAAAGGCAGAGGTGCTGGGAGGATATGAGGAAATGAGATACGGAGGAAATGAGATCAAAGAGGGGAAGAAGGATCATAGCCAGCATGAGAGAAGGTGCACCTGGGAAAGAGCTAGATAAATCACACAGGCAGAGAGAGGGGTAGGGGAGTCCAGTAGCAACAAGCTGGGGCAGACAGATTGAGGGGAGCCATAAGGGTGGCAGGCACATGGCCGGGTGGGGGATCAGGACGGGAGATCCTGGAGAGGAAGGGCCATATGGGGAGGCAGAAGTGGAAGGGTCCACTTGGGCTCCAGGCTTTCTGCTCTGCCTACTGAGAGGGTGCCAAGGGGACTATGTTCTCCCACTCCACAGGGAGCTGCTTCCTATGTCTGGTGGATGTGGTGCCCGTGAAGAACGAGGATGGGGCTGTCATCATGTTCATCCTCAATTTCGAGGTGGTGATGGAGAAGGACATGGTGGGGTCCCCGGCTCATGACACCAATCACCGGGGACCCCCCACCAGCTGGCTGGCCTCAGGTAAGTATACTTGCTTTAGGGCAGGCTCAGGGGTTCGTGGTCTCACTTCTCTGGGGCTGTGAGCTGTCCAAGGTCAACACTGTGCAGGAAGGGAGGATGTAGTGGTTGTGTGGGGGGGTCCCTTTGGAGGTGGGAAGTGAACTCTGTACCCTGAGGATGTGGCCTGGTTCCCCTGGCCCAGGATGGACATACGGGGGTGGAATGGCAGGGCCCAGAATCACAGGTCCTTGGCATGGGCTAGCACTGTTTCCTTAGCCTCACCTGTTGGGCTTCCAATCCCAGCATTCCCTGGGAGTGGTCCTCTCTGTAGTCCGGCTTGAGCAGCCCAGGGGTGGGGAACATGACCACCTGGGAGCAGCTCCTTTGCACAGTAGGAAGCTGTGTCCCATGGACTCAGCTCTGTGTAGTTTCTGCCATCTGGTCCTTGTTCCTGGACTGGCCAAGTTTCCTGGGGGTCTGGGATAGCTGAGGAGAGGCTTTGAGGGAATGCCCACCTGGGCTGGACCATCCCCTTCACAACAAAGGCTCTGAGCCCCCTCCTCTGTCAGGACGCCCTCTTTGGCTTAATTTTAATCTTTCCCTCAGCATCATGACGAAAGTGCTCACCTCTTGGTTTCTCACGCTCTAAAATGACAGTGTCAGTAACACTGGCCCTACCTATTCATCGGATGCCACCTCGAACGGCAGGGCCCCTGGTGTTGCTTCCCCCACTTAGGCACAGGCCCCACCCACTGGCTATGTGACCTCCAGAGAGTGACATGACACCTTTGTGTCCACACTTACTCATGTCTAAAATGGGGACGCTGGCACCCAGCGGCCGGTGTGAGAGACAGGGATGATTTATGGAATCCGCCCTGAAGTGTCGCTTCAGATACGGCTTTTTATGATGACTGGATTCTAGAATGATTTTTGAGACTCGAGGTCAAAATATTGTGCATGGGAGCGGGGATGGAGGGTTGCCCGTTCCCCTCTTTCCCTTACCCAGCGGCTGGGGCTCTATTTCCCAGGCCTTGCCCACTCCAGGGCTGCTCGCGGTCCCCGTGGCCACATGCCTCTCCTCTTCCGCAGGCCGCGCCAAGACCTTCCGCCTGAAGCTGCCTGCGCTGCTGGCGCTGACGGCCCGGGAGTCGTCGGTGCGGTCGGGCGGCGCAGGCGGCGGGGGCGCCCCCGGGGCTGTGGTGGTGGACGTAGACCTGACGCCCGCGGCACCCAGCAGCGAGTCCCTGGCCCTGGACGAAGTGACGGCCATGGACAACCACGTGGCAGGGCTTGGGCCCGCGGAGGAGCGGCGCGCGCTGGTGGGTCCCGGCTCTCCGCCCCACAGCGCGCCCGGCCCTCTCCCATCGCCCCGCGCGCACAGCCTCAACCCCGACGCCTCAGGCTCCAGCTGCAGCCTGGCCCGGACGCGCTCCCGAGAGAGCTGCGCCAGCGTGCGCCGCGCCTCGTCGGCCGACGACATCGAGGCCATGCGCGCCGGGGCGCTGCCCCCGCCACCGCGCCACGCCAGCACCGGTGAGGGCGCCACGGGACCCGTTCCGCCCCAGTCCACGCTTTCTCGGCTGCCAGGCTTGCTGCATTCTCGGCCCTCAGCTTCCGACCTTTCCACTACGTCCTGGGTGCCTGGGAGATGGAAATCCCATTAAGCACTTATTTAATTCCATTAAGTGGCCTGTTGCGCTATTAAATGTCCATTCATCCCATTACATTCTTCCACTCCCAGAGCCCTGGTGGGCCCCTTGGAGCTGGCTGTCCCGGGACGGCCTGGAGCAGGGATGCCCTGGGCAGGAGACGCGCCCGGCCTCCGAACACCACCTGGCCCCCTGCCTGCCAGTGTCCTGGGGCAGACCGTTTCCTCTTCCTCTTCCTGGTCACAGGGCTGTCTCCTGGCTGCTTCTTTAGAGTGCTGCGGGGAGTCTGACCTCCGTTGTTTCTTGTGACTCCCCTGGACTCCCAGGGACTCCTGACTGTGCAGGGCCTGGTCTCCACTCTTGGTCTGTGGGTGGCTTGCCTGGCCTGGGGCCTTCGGCCTGCTGGCCTGACCATGTTGCCTCTCCACCTAGGGGCCATGCACCCCCTGCGCAGTGGCTTGCTCAACTCCACCTCAGACTCCGACCTCGTGCGCTACCGCACCATCAGCAAGATTCCCCAAATCACCCTCAACTTTGTGGACCTCAAGGGTGACCCCTTCTTGGCTTCTCCCACGAGTGACCGTGAGATCATAGCACCCAAGATAAAGGAGCGAACCCACAATGTCACCGAGAAGGTCACCCAGGTAGGTGCCCAGCGACTGGGCTCTCCTCTCACCTTGGAGGAGCTTGGAGAAGGGGTGGGAGTGGGCTGTGGTCCAGAGCCGGGTGGAGGGAGCTAGCCAGTGAAGGCCTCTTGGAGGGAGGCAGACCTGAGGGCTGGGGTTGGCGATCTATTCCAGAGCTGGGGTTGTGGGAGAGGGGACAGTCCAAGAAGTTCTGGAGAGGGGACTGGAGGGGCCTGGGGAAGGGCTGGGGACAGCAGATGGGGAGGATTGGTGGATGGGGTCCGTGCCTTCAGGGCACAGGGTGAGGACGGGGCAGTTGAGGCTGGGGGCGTGAGAGGGCCAGTAGCAAAGGGGGAAGGCGGCCTGAGGGACATGAAACGTCTGGCTGCAGGGTGTGTGAAGGGAGTACTAGGGGCCATGCCAACTGGGAGGCTTCAAATGAGAAGGGATCACAGAGGTCAAGGATAGGAGGGTCTTGACTCTTCTATGCCAAGGTGATGCACCAGGCAGAGGGTGGGCCCTAGTCCTGTGGGGATGGCCAGGATGGCCTCGAAGGGCCCAACTCTGTCCCCAAAGCATAGGAGAAGCCAGTTTTCTTCTCATGGGGAGGGGATTGGATGGTGGTGGTACAAAGATACAGAAGGGTCAGGTCCCTGAATCCTGGACCAGAGAAGACCCCTCAGCCTTGGGGGCAGTAGCCAGCCTGGTGTTCTGTCCCCTCCTGGGTTTGGGGTCCTCCTGGCAGCAAGAGGACTTGGCGACCTCTCCATGGCCTCATCCACCCCACACCTTAGCCTTTAGGGGCCAGGGGTGGGTGGGTTAGGAGTGTGGATACCTGCCTGGGATCATGTGGGGGACTCCTGTCCCAAGCTGTCCCCTTCTGCCGCTTCCACAGCAGCTGCCTGGGTTGACCCATGTGAGGGAGCTGCCCTGCTACCTTGGCAGCCTCCTGGCCCTGCTCCCATCGCCTGGCTCTCTGGGTCCCCGCCAGGTCTCCAGCCCATTGGCCTTGACTCCAGAACATTCCCCCTTGCCCCAGGCCCTTATCTGGCCGCCTACCCCTCTCTCCCTCCTCCCTTGCCTCTCTCTTGGTTCCCACCTGAGCCCCTCGCATCTGCCCTGCTCCTGTGCCTGCTGCATGTGCCTGTGAGTTGCGGTGGGTCTGTGCATGTGCGCCTGTATGTGTCGGCAGGCGTGTGTGTTCCTGCCAGTCACCAGCAGTCTCTCCATCTCTGGGTGTCTCTGTCTGACTCTGGCTGGCTCAGCACTGGACCGGCTGGGCGGGGGTGTCAGGGAGACCATTAATCTGCGGTGACAGGCCCGGCTGCTGGCGGAGGGGGAGGGGCTCAGGCTGCGGGAGCGCCGCTGCAGGAGCCCGGGCGGGCTGCGGGGGAGGGGGCCGCTGGCCGGGCACCGGCGGGGCGGGGGAGCCCAGTGTGGCGGGGTGGGGGTGGGGAGGAGGAGGGGCCGGCTGGAGGAGCCGAGGTTCCGAGTGCGGCCGCTGCTGGGCTGGCGGGCAGGCAGAGTGCGGCACCCTGGCAGCAGGGCCCACACCACGGGGCCATGGGCAGTTCGAGCCAGGCAGGCTGCTGTCCATGCTTACTGCCAGGGTGACCCCAGCCCCGGGGCCCAGCCCCAACCACCCTGGCTTCATGCCAGAGGCTGCCCTGGCTGCCAGTCGGCCAGCCTCGGGGGTGCAGCCTGGGCTGGGACTGCTGCTGGGGTGCAGGTGAGGCACTGGCCGGGCCCTCAGGCCCCAGGGCAGGCAGGCTGCAGGGTGCCAAGTCGTCCATGGCGGCCCCAGCTGGGAAGGCGAGCAGGACAGGGGCTCTGCGGCCCAGGGCCCAGAAAGGCCGGGTGAGGCGGGCAGTGCGCATCTCCAGCCTCGTAGCCCAGGAGGTAGGTGACACCCGGTCCTTCCTCTTCTTTCTGGGGCTGGGGCACTGAGGCAGGTGGCTGGCCCGAGGGCTCTGGCTCCAGGCTGGGGAGAGGGCTGCTGGGAAGCAGGAGGCTTTGGGAGCCATGGGGCCTGGCCCTGCTCACCCGCGCTTGGCTCCTGCTCTCATTCCCTCCCAGGCTGGGCTTACATAGTTTCCCTTGCCGGGACTTCCCCTCCCCTGTGGCTGCCATGGCCCACAGTCCTAGAGCTCAAAATGCAAAGTGGGGAGATGACAGGAATGAGACGGATGCCCAGAGAGATGGTGGGGAGGCAGAGTGGGGAAAAGGAGCCCACGGGCAGAACCGTGAGAAGCCGGCAGGCAGCAGCTGGGCCTGGCATGGGGGCACTGGGGCTCCCTTGCTCTATGTGCTGGGGTTGGACCCGGTGGGCAAGGGAGGCTTGTGCTGTTTTGGGGGGTCGAGGAGGCTGGAATATGCGGAAGCCACTGTGTGGGTGGTGAGGGTGTGCTGGGCTGAGGCACCTGGCTCATCTCTTCATGGACGCCGAGGTGTGGTGGCTGGGCCATGCCCTACTCTGTTACCTCCTGGGAGCCATCCAGCAGCTCTCTTGTCAGAACCTGGGGTGGGCTTGGGCCAACAGTGGAGGAGGAATGGGAGGTGGCTCAGGGCTGAGTCTGGGAATCCCATCCCTGCCCCCACCGCCCCACACCTGAGCATTCTGCCTTGGCTCATATGCTCTTTCCAGCTGGGGCACAGGTACAGGTAGGTCTTCCCACCACAGCTGAGGAGCCAGGGTTTGGCTTAAGCAAGCCAGCTTCAGTATTCTATAGGACAACAGGCTGGGGGGACAGACCTGGCCCAAGGCCATAGGTGAGCTGGTGGCTGAAGAGCAGGGACTGGCCCCTGTCAGGACGAGGTGTGCCCCGTGCACGTGTGAGCTTGTGCCCTGGGGCAATGTTGCTCATGCTGTGTGCAGACTCAGGGGTAGGGTAGGGTCACTGCTGTTAGGGGTGGTCCTGATACCTCCGACCAGAGGCTTGACCTCTCAGGCACAGAGAAGAGTCCTATCCAGGGACAGCTACCTTCTTCTGCCCCCTTGTCAGCAGGGGCCTGGCCAGTTGTTTTTTTTTTCCAGTCCCCACTTGATCACTGAAGGGCCGCCCACCCGTGGGCAACTGCTGTCTGCCTTAAGGAGCTGGGTACTCAGCAGGTAGAGCAGAAATGGAGCCTGGGAGCCTGTCCATGTGTTCCCTCCCTGCCTAGCCCATCTGGTACCTCTGGAGGCCCTGTGTCCACCCCAGGGTGGTCAGATCTTTAACTACGACCCGTCTTAACTTCTAGTTATTTTCTCTAAGGAGATGTTCTCCAAGCAGCACCATGTGTGAAGGTGTCTTGGGCAAGCCCAGCTTGAGTATGAAGGAGTCTTTGGGACTCATCCACTATGGCCTCCCTAACCCAAAAGCCTGAGGCTGTGGGGGTCTGGGAGTTGGTGCTTCTGGGAGCAGGGCCAGCACCTCTGGAATTCATGGGGGCTGGGCAAGGCCTTGGGTTCAGCTGGCTGCCCAGGGATGGCAGGGAGAGCTTGGGGAGGGGGCTTTTGGGTTGAGCTGCATGTCTGAGAGAGGATTCTAGGGAGAGCCAGAAGCTTCTGGGATTGTGGAGTAGCTGGCCAGAGCTCTTCTTAGTTTGCCTTGGGAGCAAGAGGGATGTGCGTGCTGTCACCGGGTCTGAATGGCCAGCCTGCCTCTGTCTGATGAGTGTGAGTGTGGAGGAGGCAGAGTGTGAGTGTGAGCTGGTACAGGGGCTGTGTGTGTCACTGCTGAGCAGTCCCTGTGTGCACGTCCCTCTGTATAAGTTGGGTGCCATCTCCTCCTAGCTGGGCTAGGTCTTCTTTGTCCCTTTGTAAGAGGGTGGGAGGATGAGGACTGTGGGCTGTCCCTGACCTGTGTGGAGAGGGGTCTGAGGGAGCGAGGTATACGAGTGAAGGGTGCGAGTGTCTTGGTCTTTCCTCATCCTGGAAGGCTAAGGGACCCAAGACTGGTTGCCTGGTGTCCTCGGGCCTGTGGCATGAAGATGGGCTGGTAGGAACTGCAGTGACTACCAGTCAGTGGATTGGGACTGTGGCTCCTGGGGCCACTGCCCAGGCTGGGAGCTGTTGTCCTTGGAACCCTTTCTGGTGTGAGACTATGGCGTGTGTGGCTGGGGGTGTGGGCCAGTGTCTCAGGACAGTCACAGCGGCAGGTCTGCATCTGCATTGTCGGTGGGGAGCAGCACTGGGTGTTCCTGCTGAGTGTCCTGAATCAACGTCTGCCGGGAACTGTTGGAACTGTTTGGAGCTAGTCCTGTGCTGTGTGTCATTTTGGGAACCATGATGCCCAAACCTGGGGGTGGCTATTTGCTGTGGTCACTTGGCTGAGGGGTGGGCATTCTGATGGAAACTTTTTTGGCCTTCTGCTCACTCTGCTTGGCCCTGGCAGAGATGTCATTGCTCCTGCCCCCGAGGTCCCGTGGCCTGCCTCACCCATGCTTCCGCCTTCCCCGCGTGCAGGTCCTGTCCCTGGGCGCCGACGTGCTGCCTGAGTACAAGCTGCAGGCACCGCGCATCCACCGCTGGACCATCCTGCACTACAGCCCCTTCAAGGCGGTGTGGGACTGGCTCATCCTGCTGCTGGTCATCTACACGGCCGTCTTCACACCCTACTCGGCTGCCTTCCTGCTGAAGGAGACGGAGGAAGGCCCACCTGCTACCGAGTGTGGCTATGCCTGCCAGCCGCTGGCCGTGGTGGACCTCATTGTGGACATCATGTTCATCGTGGACATTCTCATCAACTTCCGCACCACCTACGTCAATGCCAATGAGGAGGTAGTCAGCCACCCCGGCCGCATTGCCGTCCACTACTTCAAGGGCTGGTTCCTCATCGACATGGTGGCCGCCATCCCCTTCGACCTGCTCATCTTCGGCTCTGGCTCTGAGGAGGTGGGGTTAGCAAGGAGGCAGGTGGTGTGGGGAGAGGAGAGGCCAGGAAGGTGGTGGGAGGTAGTGGGGTGGACGGGGTGGCGAGGAGGACAGAGAAAAAGAGAGAGAGAGAGAGAGAAAGACAGTGGGAGAGAGACATGGTGGCAAGGCAGCTGCAGAGGCATGGTGGGTACCCCAGCAAATCTATGCTCCTCCTCTCCATACAAGCTCCTCGAAGGTTGCAGAGGGCCACACAAGACACCTTTTTTCTAATTCATCCACCCCAAGGGGCCATTATTTTGTAGCTACACCAAAGTGCCCTAGAAGCTGGTGGGAGTGGGCAGGCACCCTAGAGTGATCACTGCACCTTTCAGTGCCCCTGTTTCCTCATCCGCACTATGGGGTCTGCCTCGGTCCCAAAGCTAGCACTAAGATTAATGAGACAGGTGTGCTGGGTCCAGCGTGGGCTTCAACTCTTAGGAGGAGGGCCTAGGATGTCTTTGGGGATCTGACCTCTGATGCCTGCTCTGAGGGCCACAGCACCTCCCCTCCTCCCTTGCCCCGTCAACGGAATGTGCCCCTTCCCTGTCCCCCAGCTGATCGGACTGCTGAAGACTGCGCGGTTGCTGCGGCTGGTGCGCGTGGCGCGGAAGCTGGACCGCTACTCAGAGTACGGCGCGGCTGTGCTGTTCTTGCTCATGTGCACCTTCGCGCTCATTGCGCACTGGCTGGCCTGCATCTGGTACGCTATCGGCAACATGGAGCAGCCGCACATGGACTCCCGCATTGGCTGGCTGCACAACCTGGGCGACCAGATAGGCAAGCCCTACAACAGCAGCGGCCTGGGCGGCCCCTCCATCAAGGACAAGTATGTGACCGCGCTCTACTTCACCTTCAGCAGCCTCACCAGCGTGGGCTTTGGCAACGTCTCTCCCAACACCAACTCAGAGAAGATCTTCTCCATCTGCGTCATGCTGATTGGCTGTGAGTGTGCCTAGGGGCGGGTGGCGGGGAGAGCCCAAGGTGGAGGAACCCAAGATGGAGGAAACTGAGGCTGCTAGCCGGGCCAGAGTGAGGACCCTGGGACTTAGAGACTCCAGGGGCCACCATCGTGACATGGTTTGGGGGCTGGGTCACCAGGGCGGGGACTACTGAAGGGTGGGGTGACTACTGAACGCAGATGTACAAGGGCATCTCGTGGGCACGTCGATGCTGAGACTGAGACACTGACCTGGTGCAGGGCCTGAGCAGGGTCCCTGTGGGTGGGTGGAGTTCCCGCAGAGGCTGACAGCCCCACGTGCCCACGCCCCCAGCCCTCATGTACGCTAGCATCTTCGGCAACGTGTCGGCCATCATCCAGCGGCTGTACTCGGGCACAGCCCGCTACCACACACAGATGCTGCGGGTGCGGGAGTTCATCCGCTTCCACCAGATCCCCAACCCCCTGCGCCAGCGCCTCGAGGAGTACTTCCAGCACGCCTGGTCCTACACCAACGGCATCGACATGAACGCGGTGAGGCCACCAGAGCGTGGCCAGTGGGTGGCAGGCTGGGAAGAGTAGGGTGGCAGAGGGGAGCCTCTTGGCACATCAAGCAAGTCTCAGGCGGTCACAGTCAGTAGTAAGAAGGATCCTGGAGGCATGCTGCCCCTTTTTGTCCGTGAGGAAACGGAAGCCCTTGGAACCCCTTTTCTGGAGAGCTCCCCTTTTGGGGTAGGAGCTATGTATCACAGGCGATGGGGTTAAATCCTTACGACAGCCCAGGGTGGGAATGGTCTCTATGCCTTACAAATAAGAACATGGAAGAGTCTAGAGCCCAAGGGTGCTCAGCCAGGGGTGGTGAAGCTGGAGTGGGGTCTCAGGTCCTTCCCAAGACACTGGGCCGCCTGATGCTTCTGAGATCTCCCAGGCCTGGAGAATGAGATTTCCCTGACATAGAGGGGTGGGATGGTGGAGTGGAGTGTGGGTTGGGGGGTCCCAAGGGAGGGTGTGCTGAGCTGCCCCCACCCCGCCCACAGGTGCTGAAGGGCTTCCCTGAGTGCCTGCAGGCGGACATCTGCCTGCACCTGAACCGCTCACTGCTGCAGCACTGCAAACCCTTCCGAGGGGCCACCAAGGGCTGCCTTCGGGCCCTGGCCATGAAGTTCAAGACCACACATGCACCGCCAGGGGACACACTGGTGCATGCTGGCGACCTGCTCACCGCCCTGTACTTCATCTCCCGGGGCTCCATCGAGATCCTGCGGGGCGACGTCGTCGTGGCCATCCTGGGTATGGGGTGGGGGGCGGGCACTGGACTGGAAATGCCCTCTGCAGCCTCGAGAGGCGTGAGCCCTCTGAATATGCAGTCACTGGGGCTGTGGACCTGGAGCTGCCTGCAGGGTCACTGGGCTCCTTTAATTCATCTGAACTCAGGCCCTCCAAGTGGGACCATGAAGAGCAGCCCCACGTGGGGTGGGGCTGCTGAACTCTGGGGTTCCCACATTATTTCCTTCAGGATCCACCACAAACAGACACTTTTTGCTTCCTTAAAGTAGGATCAAATCTAGATCCTCCAGCCTGGGCAGTAGAGGAAGAAATGCTAGCCTGGAAGCTGGGCATTTGGTTTCACTAAGGGCCATGTGGTTCCCTGCAGCCTCATGCCCGGCCCCATGACATATCCAAAGCAAAGGGAGTCCTGCCCCCTCTCCCCACTTCCTTTCTAGCCCGCCTGTGCACAGTGGGTGGGTTGTTGGTGTGTCTGGACACTGAGGACTTCCTCCCCTCTGCCTGTCCTTCCCTTGGCCCTGCGTGCCTCAGGGCAGATAGAGCAAACTCTTTCGACCGTGGTTTATGGTAGCACATTTTAGATTTTCTTTCTCAGCTCTGTACAAACACAAATACACACTCCCACACAACTAAAATCAAAGTTTCACGACATAACACTGGGCCTTATTACATGTGGTACATTCTAGCATTTCTGTTCTGTGCTGTGCTAAGCTATACTACTGTATGTTCTTTCAGTAAAAAAAAAAAAAAAAAAAAAAAAAATGCTGGTTTTGATTTCCCGCTGTGTTCTGATCTTTGGTTTGAAGAACATTGCTTACAAGAGTGCAGTGGTTGGCTAAGAGGGTGTTTGGGACATGGGGTTTGTGGTAGTCCTGCTGGCTGGGTCTCATTTGCTGGGAGACCCTGGGCTCCTGGCCCCTTCTGCCGGCCCCTCTGGCACTGTCCTGCCTGCTGGGAGCTGAGGGAGGCTGCACTGGCAAATTGCTTCCCTGGTTGTGTGGGTTGGGGGCCAGCTGGCAGGTGACCCAGTTGAGGGGACATGCTTTGCCCAGGGTGGGGATGCCGGGAGAAGGTGCCTGCTGCCTGGATGCCGCCCCCCAGGGCTGAGCTCCCTGTCCTCTCTATGGCTTCCAGGGAAGAATGACATCTTTGGGGAGCCTCTGAACCTGTATGCGAGGCCTGGCAAGTCGAACGGGGACGTGCGGGCCCTCACCTACTGTGACCTACACAAGATCCATCGGGACGACCTGCTGGAGGTGCTGGACATGTACCCTGAGTTCTCCGACCACTTCTGGTCCAGCCTGGAGATCACTTTCAACCTGCGAGATGTGAGTTGGCTGCCCTGAGCTGGACCCCATCCTCCTGCTTCCAGCTGTGTGGCTGCCCCTTTGCTGTGTGACATTGAATGTGATGCTTCTCTGTCTCAGTTTCCCCGTTTGTCAAATGGTATCATGGAGCAGGCTATTAAAGTCCCAAACTCAGTCCTTGCCTGGGGCAGAGGTCACACTGGGGGCAGGGAAGGGTTTCCCCAGAGCTGGAGCACCCAGCCCTACTTTTTCTGTGTTAAGGAGGGAGCTTGGGGCCTGACCCTGATGGGGCAGGAGAGCACCGAAAGGGCCCTGATACTGATTTTGGTTCCAGACCAACATGATCCCGGGCTCCCCCGGCAGCGCGGAGTTAGAGGGTGGCTTCAGTCGGCAACGCAAGCGCAAACTGTCCTTCCGCAGGCGCACGGACAAGGGTGAGGCGGGGGAGGGGAGGAAAGGGGAGGGTGGGGCCAAGGTGAGGCTGGGAGCTGGAAGGCGGGGCGGGCCGTGTCTGCTTTACCCAGGCCTCAGACCTTCCCATCCCTTCCTGCAGTGTGCCCACTCCACACCCCAGCTGTCCAGATGCTGCCCATCTTTCAGGGCTCCTGCAGCTGTCACCTCCTCCAGGAAGCCCTCTTCCACCCTCCAGGGCAAGCCTAGGGTTTTTGGACCTCACAGGGCTGTGGTCTCTGAGCGCTGCCCTGAATCGATGAGGAGGAAAGAACATAGGACAAAGGAGGGCCAGAGAGTCAACAATGGGGCTGAGGCCCCGCAGTCCCAGAGATCCCTCAATTCCCAAAGCACCATTGCCAGTGCTCGGGCAGTCAGGGGGTCCTGGGAGTTCTTGGTCGGCTTGACAGTGGGTGCAAGATAGCAGAAGAAGCAACTGGGGAGAAACCAGGGCGTCCTGCCCAGTCCTCTCCCAGGCTCCTGTTCCCTCCTCCACCCTTGCCCCCTCCTCTCCACTCCCCTCCCCTCTCTGAGGCCCATTCTCTGTTTCCCACAGACACGGAGCAGCCAGGGGAGGTGTCGGCCTTGGGGCCGGGCCGGGCGGGGGCAGGGCCGAGTAGCCGGGGCCGGCCAGGGGGGCCGTGGGGGGAGAGCCCGTCCAGTGGCCCCTCCAGCCCTGAGAGCAGTGAGGATGAGGGCCCAGGCCGCAGCTCCAGCCCCCTCCGCCTGGTGCCCTTCTCCAGCCCCAGGCCCCCCGGAGAGCCGCCGGGTGGGGAGCCCCTGATGGACGACTGCGAGAAGAGCAGCGACACTTGCAACCCCCTGTCAGGTACTCCAGGCACTGGCAAGGGAGGACTTGGGTGGTGGGCGAGGGAGGACCGGGTGGGGCAGCGGCGGGGCGTCTACCCCGCTCACCCGGCTCTGCTTTCCGGCTGCAGGCGCTTTCTCGGGAGTGTCCAACATTTTCAGCTTCTGGGGGGACAGTCGGGGCCGCCAGTACCAGGAGCTCCCTCGATGCCCCGCCCCCACCCCCAGCCTCCTCAACATCCCCCTCTCCAGCCCGGGTCGGCGGCCCCGGGGTGACGTGGAGAGCAGGCTGGACGCCCTCCAGCGCCAGCTCAACAGGTGAGGGAGTGCAGGTGGGGTGTGGGGACATGCTCTGGAGTCTGGTCCGGGTCCTGGCGGTGTTGTCTGGTAGAGGGAGAGGGCCTGTGTGTGTGTGCAGCAGCTGGATCCCCTTCTTCCATTCCCAGCCGAGCTGGGGGCTGCCACACCTCTAGCGCAGAGGGCCTGGGTTGACCAGCTGCCCCTCCCCTCTCCCCTTCCCCACTCCCGGCAGAGGCTGTCACTGGTGTCCCCACTTCCCTGAGCATCCCCTGCTTCCTGCCCCAGGCTGGAGACCCGGCTTAGTGCAGACATGGCCACTGTCCTGCAGCTGCTACAGAGGCAGATGACGCTGGTCCCGCCCGCCTACAGTGCTGTGACCACCCCGGGGCCTGGCCCCACTTCCACATCCCCACTGCTGCCCGTCAGCCCCCTCCCCACCCTCACCTTGGACTCGCTTTCTCAGGTAAGCTGCAGCCCTGCTTCGTCGATGTGCCCCTACCCACTTGTTCCCCGATTCCAGCCCAAACCTACCCACTTGTTCCTGATTCCAGCCCAAACCTACCCACTTGTTCCTGATTCCAGCCCAAACCTGCTTTGCTGCCTTTCTACTGGGCTCTGTGGCCCAGCCTCCCTGAACCTTGGCCTGCCCTCCTCCCATCCCTGTTCTCCTGGAGGAAGGCTGCCTCGGGAGCTGCAGGCTCAGAGTAGGGCAGGAGAGTCCCCCGTCCAAAGCCCCTAGACAGCTGGGTGCAGGGAACCTGTAGGCTCAGTGGTCCGCAGCTTCATTCCCCTAGTGTCCACAGCCTCCACCGCTAGACCCCTGAGCATCACCTGAAGAGCCAGCTGCAACTGTAGCGCCTGTGTCACGGCCATGGGTGCTCTCCAAGGAGAACTGACTGAACCGGAGGCCTGGAGGTGGAGGCTGCATGCCAGAATGTCTAGGGACAGGGTCCCGGGTCGCTTCTGTGAGCGACACTCCCTAGTCTCACTGTCCTGCCCATCTTTGCCTTTGGCACTGGCTGTCACAGGGTCATCTTGAGGGTGCCTGGCATTTCCCAGGGTGCAGAGGACAAGCCTCCGGGGAGGACTTCCTGGGCCTGCTTTGCCCCTTCCGTTAGAGATGGGCCTAGGTTGCCCCTTGTCCCCTCCTGGGTGGACCTGCATGTTCCTGGCCTCTGCAGGATGGCGGTGTCTGTGCCACCCTCTGCGTCCATGGGGACTCCTCTGGCTGCCAGAGGCGGCCTGGGATCTGCTCCCTCCCCCCTTCCCTTGGCATCCGCTCCCCCCTCCCATATGCTGCCTGCTCCTGTTTGCAGACACCAGGGCCCACGTCAGCAAATGTGCCAGTCTCCCTTCGCAGCCGCCCCCGCAGAGCTCTCACCAGCAGACGCTCAGCACCCACAAACCCCTCCCGCCTGCCCCAGCCCTCTCCCTGGCCTTCAGATGCCTGGCCGCCAGCCTGCCTCTGTTTCTAGGTCTCCAAGTTCTTTCTGGATTGCAGGAAAGAATCTTGTCTCTTTTTCTGTCCCAGCTTCTGTCCCAACACAGAGACTGCTTATTCCAGGTTGGGCTGGGCTCAGCGGCCACCTATCCTCAGGAAGAGACAAGGGTCTAGGGTTTTCCCTGCTCCCAGCTCTGTTTGGCTCCTGCTCTCGGAGAGTGCCTTTCTCTACTTCCCACCTTGGTGCCTTCCCTTGGTGGCCCTTGTCCTGCTCTCACTACCTTGGCTCTTCTTCTTGTCCCCTCCAGCTTCTCTGCCCACCTGACTCTCCTCTCGGCCCTCCTATCCTCCTGTCCATCCTCTGTCCCCAGCTTCTCTTGCCCCTTTCCCTCCCATTCCTCCTTCTCCATGGCCTCTTTGCCTGCCCATGCTGTGTGTATTGCAGGTTTCCCAGTTCATGGCGTGTGAGGAGCTGCCCCCGGGGGCCCCAGAGCTCCCCCAAGATGGCCCCACGCGACGCCTCTCCCTGCCGGGCCAGCTGGGGGCCCTCACCTCCCAGCCCCTGCACAGACACGGCTCGGACCCGGGCAGTTAGTGGGGCTGCCCAGTGTGGACACATGGCTCACCCAGGGATCAAGGCACTGCTGGGCTGCTCCCCTTGGAGGCCCTGCTCAGGAGGCCCTGACCGTGGAAGGGGAGAGGAACTCGAAGCACAGCTCCTCCCCCAGCCCTTGGGACCATCTTCTCCTGCAGTCCCCTGGGCCCCAGTGAGGGGCAGGGGCAGGGCCGGCAGTAGGTGGGGCCTGTGGTCCCCCCACTGCCCTGAGGGCATTAGCTGGTCTAACTGCCCGGAGGCACCCGGCCCTGGGCCTTAGGCACCTCAAGGACTTTTCTGCTATTTACTGCTCTTATTGTTAAGGATAATAATTAAGGATCATATGAATAATTAATGAAGATGCTGATGACTATGAATAATAAATAATTATCCTGAGGAGACTCCAGTGGTGCTGGGAGGGTGTAACTGTTACTTGCTGTATCCTGTGTTCATGTCTGGACATGTACAGGTGTGCCGGCACAGGAATCTGGGTCTGTCTGCATGCCCAGGCCCACAGGGCTGCCCCTACATCTAGGTCTGGGTGTGTGCAGTGGGGGTGCTCCCTGGGGGCTGACACAGGTCATCTCCAGGGAGACAGAATCTTGTCTCTGTAGGGCCCTGGATTCAAGATAACAACCCCCAGACCACATGCATTTAGAGGCAGTCCTGATGGGACAATGACCTGGCATCTAGCCCTTGAGGGCCATGTGCCTCTGCTGGGCAGGGCACCCTGGCTCCCACAGCGGGCTTCACACTGACTGTGGAAGCAGCCCCGCACTTGTCTCCCTCACCCAGTTCCTGAGCTCACGTTGACCCTAACCTGAAATTGGTCTGAGTCCTGGCCCCACCCCCACCCACAACTTAGCCTTATCTTGTCCAATACAACTGGGCCCTGGCCACACGGGTGACCCCAGCCCTGACCAGAGCTCACCTGGTATCTGGCTGCAGATGGGCCTCACTTGTATCACCTTGGTCCCCTGTGATCCTGGATCTCAAGAGGAGCGTCCTGAAGAGGGTACAACCTTCAGGGTGACTCATTCCCATGACTGGGGAGCAAGGCAAGGCAGACATCTTGGGGACAGTGAGGGGTGTGTGCGCAAGTGCCTGCTTGTGCCTGTGTGTGTGTACGTGTGTGTATGTGTGTGTGTGTGCGTATGTGTGTGTGTGCATGTGTGTGTGCGTGTGTGCATGTGTGTGTGCGTGTGTGCCTGTGTGTGTGCGCGCGTGTGTGTGCATGTGTGTGCGTGTGTGTGTGTGCGCGCGCGCGCGTGTGTGTGTGTGTGCTTGTGCTGCTGGGCTCGTGAGGACACGCAGCCCCCGGAGGAATGCGGTGCAATGACCGCGGCTGGTGTGGAGAGCCAATGGGCGGCGGGCAGGCTGAGCCCAGCCGGGCCGGTTTGCAGGCGGGGAGCTGCCAAAGGCCTCCAGAGACCTCAGAGCAGCTTCTCGCTGAGTCCTCAAAACCTCTGACCTTGGAGGTGGATTTGTTGACTGTTTTAAAGATAACTGTGCCATTCTCACTGCCCATGCCTGGGTGGGGCAGGTGTTGGTCTCTGAGCAGCCTGGAAGGTTCCCTGTGCCCGGAGCAGGGAGGAGAGAAGGAAGGGATCTCCCCATTTCCAGGGCCTGGGAGAGACAGGAAGGAAGAGATCCACACACAGGTCAGAGGGGAAGAGGGGTGACAGGCATGCCGGGCAGAAAAGACAGGTTTGTGCATCAGCATCTGTCCCACGCATGTACACACATACACATGTGCATCAGGATCTGTCCCACACATGTACACACACGTGCGCATCAGGATCTGTCCCACGCATGTACACACATGCACATGTGAGTGTGAGCTTGCTTCTACTCATGGTTTGAAAGTTTAACACAGGCCTTCCTGGTTGGTTGATGTGACTGTCACTGCAGGTGGGGGTCTAGCTGGGGTGGCCTAGATTTGGTGTCAGTGGGGTGTGGCTCTGCTTATGGACTCTGGAGCCCAGGGCAGGAGACAGACCCAGGCAGCGGCTTATGGGGAGCAGTGAAGGTACACACGAAACTCAACGCTCTTCGCATGCTGGACCGTAAGCTGAGCCAAGTCCTTGCTCCCTGGTGCTGTCTCATCCTTGTCATGGTCTGCCCTTGTCCTTAGAGTGCCTTCATCCTGGGAGTCTGCCTGATGCCCACTACTCCGTGTCCAGCAGCCGGACTGGGTGTTGGGGGGCACAGAGAGGAGAGGAAGAAAGGGCCTTTGCCCCCCTCCTGGCGTTGTAGCAGAGGTGCCACTGGTTGTTTGTTTGTGGCACCATGCCGGCACCGTGGTCAGCTGCCTTCCCCTAGGAGAGGGCCCTGCCTGGGCGCTGGCGTCTGGCGTGGATTTTGGTGCTCCTGAGGAGTGAATGTGTGTGTGGGAGTGTGCATGTGCCTGCGCTCAGGATGGGGTCTGGGCCCAGCAGAGGGCAACCTGTCCATGCTGGTTCTTGATAGAAATACATAGTGACCCAGAGTCAGTTGTTCAGTCTGGATGGGCCAGGCTGCCCAGATGCTCCTTGCCAAGTCCCTGCCAGGACTCCCCTGCCAAGGCTGGAGAGTGGGTGAGGAGCAGTCACAGTGGCTGCATTTGCCAGGTGGTCCCTGGGTCCGGTCTGCAGCTGGGTGCTCTGCCCTTGTGTCCTGAATCCCTACTCCAGCGGAGGGCATGTTAGCATCCACATGAGGACAGTCAGTTTCTGGCTGGTCCGGTGACTGGCTGGAGGTCACATCCCTAGTTGGTGGCAGGTGCGTCTGACTTCAGATTCTCCCTACCCATCCTCCGGCCTGCACTGTCCAGCCACAGGCAGCCCTGCTCCCTGGCTCCTCCCCTCACTTGGGCTCCCAGAGCGACAGGAAGTTTGGTGGTGAGGACAAGGGCAAGCTGTGGTGGTGCAGTCCCTCCCCTCCTGCAGGGCTGGGCACCTGGCTGTTAAGGGTCTGTCATCCGGGGCTGAGGGTTTTTCCAAACCAAGAGAGCCAGAGGGTGGGATGGGAGCTGGAGGGGCCGTGGCAGGAGAGGAAGGGATCTATGCGGTTGTCAACACCTGGTGGAAGCCTGACACAGGGTTCCAAGCTGGAGACTGGAGTCAGGTTAGGGGCTGGGAGCAGGAATGGAAGGGGGAGGGCGGCGCCGCCTCTCTTGCCTCCACCTCCATGCTCAGAGCTCCAGGTGCGGAGGGATGCCCAGCCTGCCTGTCCAGGTGCAAGCTGATCTCCAGCACCTGTCCTTACCTGAGATCTCATCCCCGCTCAGCCGGGCAGTGGCAGCTCTCGCATTTCATTGACAAATAACAGCAATGGATATTTCCTGAGCACGCCCTTTGCGGCAAGCATTATTCCAGCCACCTGAAACCAAAGCCCCAGAGACTGAGTGACTCGCCCAAGCATATCCCGCTCCTCAGAGTGGAGCTGGAATGTGAGCCCAGGTGGTCTGAGTCACACGCCTGCTGGTCCTCAAGGGACAGATGGACTTCTCCCCCTTGCCTGAAGGACAAAGCCCTCCGTGCCCGTTTTGCACAGAGGTTCTCATCTTTCTTTCCAGACTCACCTGCCCTCTCCCCTCCCTGCCGTGTGCCCTGTGCCACAGCCATGCGAGCTTCTGTCCTGTTAACCATGTTCTTGCATCTGTCCATCTTGCCCTCTTCTTGTGATGCAGACTCCTTCATCCTTGGTGTGGAGAGACCCTTCTATCTTCCCAGTCCTAGCATGGACGTTGCTGATCCTGAGGCCTTCTGCAGGCTTCTCAGCCAGTTGCGGCACTCACTGGCACCTGTGTTAGGGGCTCCCCACATCCTGCCTGCTTGCTTGTCTGTCCTCTGTAAAAGGGAAGAGCTGAATGCTGGTCAACTTTTCGTCTCTTCCCACCCAGCATCTAGCATAGTGCCCAGCACCTGATGTGGCCATTAGGAAGCCCACAAGACCCCATGTTTGAGATTTTGCACAGAAAAGGGAGATGTCTTCTGGACAGAGTTGGCTGGGCCAAAATTTGCTTCTGTCCCCGGAGGTTGCTTTCTTCCCAAAGGCTTGGCCTCCGGATTGTGGCTGCCTCCCCTGCCCACCTCCCCAGGGAGCATAAGCCCCACTCCTTCACTGGCAATGTGGCTACAGATGCTTGTATTTTTTTTTTTCACTTTAGCACAACCAAGGTAAATATTAAATATTTGAAAGAGAATGATGGGAGCAGTGGGGAGGACAAACCAGAGACTTGGGCCAACAGCCTCAAGACCATTCATTTTGTAGAATGAATGTTGGTGCCTGTCCGTGGCTGCCCCAGTCTGGAGGCTTGTGGGCCCCCTCCTGTTCCCATGCTCTGGGATACCTCTGAAGTGGAGTTGGGAATACTTTTTTTGCAGGGGGGTTTGCTCCCAGTTTCCAGTTTCTAAGTGGCCTCTGAGTGGAGGGCTCCAGCTCACCGTCTTCTGGGTGGCTGTTCATTTGTCCTTCGATGGTCAAGGCTGAGGGAGGTTACACTGAGGGCTTTGCAGTTCCAGATTCAGGTCTGTGGGATCTACCTTTTCCCCTGGTGGTGGACAGTCTTCTGGAAACTGAAACCTGGTTGAACTTGCTTTTCAGTGAGAGCTTATACTGCTGTAGGAAGACGTATTTCCTTGTAGGAGTCCTGGCAGCTTGACAACACAAGGACCATAAAAGGACACATGTGGTGTGTTAGTTTCTCTCAAGTGCTCAATGATGTCGAAATAAATGGAAAATGCAGGGCCTTCCAAAGTGACTGTTTTGAGATATTTTAAGATAATTGTATATCATTAAAGAGTGGTTAGTGTGAAAATTGATTTAGTAAAAGATTAAATAGTAATCATTTTCTTAAAGCT